ACTTAGGTTATTGATTCACAAGGTCCTAAGAGAGCTATCTATAGCTTTTTCCTTACGATTGTCTTACAAGAATAGACCCATAAAATAACCATTAGTTCAATAAACAGTCACTGAACTTCTCCGTGCCAGAGTACTTTGTGAGGAGCTGTGGGGGGAATTGGAGCCTATAACCTGACTGGAAGCACCTGAGGGCACACCAGGCTCATTTACACAGATAAAGAGAACCATCAACTTTAGGTTACCTTAGTGAAGGGTCCTCTGTGTGGTAAATGCATGGAGTGAAAGGGAAGAAAGGAAAGCGGGCTCAGTGCACCTCTGCCTGAGTGAGGCTCCTTAGATCAAAAGGCTAAACTTTGAAAATACCTTTGAAATGAAAGGTAGCTTGGGTATATCTTCAGCTGTCTTCCTGGTACTCATTACAAAGGAGTTCTACTGGGGTTATATTGTTGGGCTTGTCAAACAGGAATCTCAACTACAATTTAAAAGTATGCTTCTGTGCGCATTATCTCTTGGAAAGTTACTGAGGTAATGAACTATCCCACCATGGTTTTAAAAGTATGCATGCACTGCTCAACTGCCATTAAAGAGTGATGACGTTCGACTTAGGGGTTTTTTGGGGGGGAAGTGGGGGGGGGTACTTTGTTTTGGTGCTAGGGATTGAACCCAGTGTGCTGCTCCATGTGGGCATGCATTCTACCACTGAGTTACACTCCCACCTCTTTTGACTAAACTCAGAGAGCTTTAGTGCTGATGGAAAATGTTTATTAGTAGAAACTTTGGTGTCTGGGAAGGTAGCAGAGTTGATAAAGGGCATCCTTGTCAAACATGGACACCTAAGTTAGGGGTCTTAGAAAGAAAGAAAGAAAGAAAGAAAGAAAGAAAGAAAGAAAGAAAGAAAGAAAGAAAGAAGAGAGAGAGAGAGAGAGAGAGAGAGAGAGAAAGAAAGAAAGAAAGAAAGAAAGAAAGAAAGAAAGAAAGAAAGAAAGAAAGAAAGAAAGAAAGAAAGAAAGAAAGAAAGAAAGAAAGAAAGAAAGGCATAGCTGGGAAGATGTCTCTTTGAATAAAGCTCTTGCTGGTGCAAGCAGCAAATGCCTGAAAGGCCTGGTGACCACCTCTGACCCCAGTGCTTAGGAGGTAGAGACATGATCCCTCGGAAAAGCTGCCTAACTAGACTGTTCTGGTTCAGCCTGAGACCTGCCTCAATAAATAAAGAGATGGTAGTGGAAGAAGACACCTGAGGCCAATTTTAGGCCTCTACACTCATGTGCATGCACACGAACCCTACCAACACATGTGAACACTCATACATACACACATACCACACACATATACTCAGAAGGGAAAAAAAAAGGTGTGTGGCACCATCGCTTTAAGGCATGCTACCTGGGGTGATCATCTGACCTCCACATTTACTGGTACACACATCCATCCACATGAACCATGCGTGCCCACACAAGGACATACACAAAAAACTGAAAATGAACAAAAATAGTTTTTCTTTTGTTTTGTTTTACTGGGTCTTAATTATTCCAGGAAGGCCTTGCTTACTATGTAGCCAAGGATGACCTTGAACCTCCTGCCTCTATCTCTGATGTGTTGGGATTTCAGGCAGAGATACACTTCAGGGTTCCCATTCTAGGCAAATGCTTTACCAAATATACCACCTCTCCAGCTGTGTGAGGTTTTTGTTTGTTTTACTAAGAAACAGGTACCTGTAAATAACACATACATGTAACATTTTCTTAATCCCAAACTGGCATCTGCCTCCTGAGTGCTGGGATTATTATAGTAAGTGCCATCATTTTACATTGCAGAATTGTTACATTCTGCCTTATTTTAGTTTACATTTAATTCATTAGTTAAACATGTGCTTATGTGTATTCAAGTGCAATCTACTTTTGAGGTGAGCATATGTATTAGGCAGAAAACACCTTTGAAGAATTGGTCCTTTCCTTCCACCATATGCTTTCTGGAATTGAGCTCAGCTCTTCAGACCTGGTGGCAAGTGCCTTTACCCATGAAACCATCTTGTTGGCCCTCTCTGCCTTATTTTAAATTCTATAACTAGAAAAGCAAAGTACAATCGAATACAGAGTTAAACTAGACAAACTCATCAGTCCTGGAACACTGCCAGAACCCTGATGCACTGTTGTTAAATTGGTGATTCAACCTTAAAAGTGAGTGGGAGTTGTTCAGTAGAACACCAAGCTTCCCTGTTTAGTGTATCCAGAAATGATGGGTAAAGTGTGCCAGTGACCACACCAAACCTTGGGTAGTTACTGAAAACTAGGAATCTCATTGTGGAGCCTCCTGTAAATGTGTGTGGCAATACACTGCATGCTCAACCCAGCCTGACTCAGTGCAACATCACACATAACAGAAATTTAATGCTTCTGAAAAGCATGAATGCTCTCTGATTTCTTCTTTACCTTTCTGGGCCTTTTGTAAGGTCTCCTAGTTGGCTAATCATTGACTAATATTTAACAATTTTCCCCAGTGCCAAGCCTTTCCCTGCTAGTCTAGCCTCTAGGTACTGTGTATGTCCCTAATTTAAGAAGGAAGGCTCTACCCTGGCAGTGGTGGTGCACGCCTTTAATCCTAGCACTTGGGAGGCAGAGGCAGATGGATCTCTGTGAGTTCCAGGCCAGCCTGGTCTACAAAGTGAGTTCCAGGACAGGAAACACTGTCTGGAAAAACAACAACAAAAATGGACTAGAATTCACTACAAGTCTTATCCTCACCACCCCATGCCTCTTTGCCTGCAATTCACTATGCAGCACAGGTTAACTTTGAGCATTTCAGCAGTCCGCCTGCCTCCTGCCCTGATACTGGTGTTACAGTTCTAAAATACCATGCCCAGAGTAGAGTAGTTTCTCTAGGTAACTTCACAGTAACTATTGAATAGAGAATCTCCTTTATGAAAACATTTAATCGTAAGTTTTAGCTGTATTGGAATAAAACATACATTATTTAAATTAATGTTACCTTTATATTTTCTACAATAAAAAATTTATAAATCTTTCATGTAGCATAAAAATTTGTAATAATTAAACTATATTTTCTTTATTTATGTGTGTATGTGTTTGTGTGTATGTATGTTTGTATGTTTGTGTGTGTGTGCCAAGGTAGATGAATGGAAGTGAGACAGCGGTTCTCTCCTTCCACCGATTGGGTTCAGGGTTGGCACTCGGGTGGACAGGTTTGGCACTTTCTCCACTAAGCCATCTCACTGGCACTGGCATCCAATTTTTAAGCCTCTCTTATTTTCAGATTCCTTCCTGGCATATGTAACGCGGAACTTAACTGAACCAATTTTCAGTTTTTACCAACTTCCCAAGTACACACTCCCTCAACAACAACAACAGAACTGTTTAGGACTGGAATGGAGAGGAGCACGGAAGCACTCAGAGTGTTTTCTACCCCTTCTCCTCCAAACCAATCTAGACAGGATTCAGGGGGACCCTTTTACCTTTGGGCTTCCAGGCTGATTTTGGACCTAGGATGAGCCAGCAGATTGGAATACAGACACTGAGGGGAAACGTGTGTTGGCCATGACAAGGAAGGAGGCAGAACTGGAGGCCAAGGAGAAGATGAAATGAAACTGCACATGTCTCCAGGTTTCCTTAGGGGACAGGACACTGAGGAGCCCTAGTGACATTGCAGTGCAACCAAGTGATTTCGACCACCTCTTCTTTCCTTCACCTACCTCTTACTCCTCAAGGACAAAGTTACCAGACAGGTGCTTTAGGCCAACAAATCATTTGGCTGGAGCCGACTACACATGGGCCTTGCCCTGACTATGATGAAATGGGCGTGGAGGCGCTAGGAAGTTCTCCCAGTACTAGAGGAGGGTTGAGCCTGGAGATCACCAATTTGAGGCCAGCTTCAGCTACATAGTGTGACCCTCTCTCAAAACATACCAAGCAAAAACAAAGGGACAGTAGCTAGAGGTTCCCCCTCAAAGTCCATTGGCGACAGGTTTGAACGGAGCAAAACACAGTACTGTACCTTCCTAACGAAGAGGAAAAACTGCACCTTCACTCCCATAGCTGACTTAAATCGGCAATGTTCAAACACGGTCTGGAATCCCTAACTTTACAGTTATTTCAGTAACATCTTTGAAAGCATGTTTTCCAAGTCAGGCAATTTAGACTCTTAAGTTCTTAACATCAGGTAGGGAGTGGAGAATCAGGCTTGCAAACACAGACCTCCAGTTCCGATCCCTCTTGAGTGCCTATCCCTGTGCCTAGTCTCTCAGCTCCCAGCCCAGTTGATGTGACAGGCTCGTGGCCCAATCGCCTTCCTGGTTCCCAGGCCGCTGGTGAACACCACCAGAGCCAATGGCTGCGGCCGCAGGGCGGAGGGGGCTGGCAGGAGGGGGAGCGCTGGCTTTAGAACCCCAGCTGCAGAGATTCCTAGGGCCAGAAGTTGTCTGAGTGCTTGGTGGGAAGCTGTAGGGCCAGATCCACGACTCTAAGACTTTACGTAAGTACTTTGCAGCTCTAGCGCAAGGGGAGCGGGTTTCCTGGGCGTGGGCAAGAGTGGGTCCTGGCGAGAGCATCTCCCGGAACCTCAGCTGGAACGTGCCTTGCACCGGGGGCGGGGGTTGGGCAAAGGGGGAGACGGAGGAAAATTTGATCTGGGGTCTGAGGCTCCAGGACGAGCTTTAGCCACCAAGATGGGTGGGAGCTCCAAAGGGTTCCTTATCACCACCCGCTGCCATCACTTTTTCTGCTATTTACTGTGCCTGCTCTCTAGTTGCTCTGAACTTGTTGCCCACCACCAGCGGGAGGTCCTCGGTCGGGGAAGCCAACTCTTACCCAGATTCCCTACGGCAGCGACCACCCCTGAAGTGGAAACCGTGTGCCTAACTTCCCTCTGCCGTCCTTTCCCAGCTACTGCCATTCCCCAATCCATCCCTCCCTCCCTCCTTCTCAGCCGCTGGGAAATCCTGGAGCCAGCCGCCTAGGTCGCCTCCCGCTAGTTCCCAGTGAACTACTGAGGGTGACCCAGCGGGTTCCTGAGGACCCTGTGGCTCCTAGAGAGAGGGGCTGGACGCCGAGCGGGTGCGGTGGCCCTGGGAAGGAACCTGGCCTGGGCTGCCCACCTTCTGCCCGCTCCCCTCCCTATCCCTTACCCTGAGCGTCGGGACCGCGCGGCGTCTCCCTATGAGTAAGCAGTTTTTTTTTTTTTTTTTCTTTCTTTCCTTAGCAGAACCTCTCCAGGCTAGCAAGCCCAGGAGTACCTTTAGATTCCCTCCTCTAGCAGCGCGCTGGCAGTCCGCTAGTGTCCTAACTAACTGCTCAGGCTCTGCAACCCAGAGCTCTGGAGCTGGGCTGCCGCACCGGGGACCACTCGGGATCCCTGGGAGGCTGAGCAAACAGGGTGGCTGGAACCCCATTCCAGGAACAGCTGCACTTGCCTGTGTTTGCTTTTCTCCACCCGCCTTACTTTAGCGACCTAATGAGAGGCCTGGGGACTCAGACTACCACTGCCCTGGCGGGTCGCCAGTCCCAAAGTTGCTGCTGCTTGGTCAAGTGCTGGCGGTTCCGAACCTCAGCCTGGCTCCAGGCCCTAGCTAGCTGCTCCAGCTTGGCTGACACTTTCCATCCTGAAGATTTCTTGCTTTTCACTTGAGCTGTGTAACTAGCCCCGTGTTGCAAGTCTAGCTTGGATTTGAATTGGGGAGCCTACCTATATTGGGCCAGTCAGGAGGGATGCTGGTATTGTCCTTCCTGTTAGGGGTAATGTAGACAGAGTGAGGGACTTTGGTTAGCCACAGTAGTTAGAAGATGTACGTGAAGTTAAAACCTCCTGAACAGTCAGCATTTCCTCCATTTCAACATCACTGTGTGTTGGAGAGCCTAAAATTGATCCTGAGATGTAGTTTACTGTGAACAACTTAATGACCGAGGTCCCACATATGCCATTTGGCATCACATGCCTTAGGTCTCTGATGCCCCTGGGGTGATGGTCACATGACCTCTTTCGACTTTAAAACTGGAATGCAATGGCCGAGGCCCATATTCCAAAAACTACCAAGACAAAAAGAGGGAGGGGCTGATGTGTGTCAGCTTCCACTGAAGGGATTTCTTGGATTTGCGTGAGGGGAACAGAAAGGAATTTGTTACTGTGATTTTAAACAAAATAAAAATTGAACAAAACATTCTAAAAATAAAAAAGAGGCTGTTTTAAGAACAAAAGCTTGAAATATATTTGTGCCATGACATTAATATGTTTCCCCACAATTACATACGGCTTTTCTAAATTTTAAAAATATTTTAAAATCGTTTTCTAAGAAAGCTAAGCTTTATTTAACTCATGTCCCATTTCATTCCTAAACGCTAGTTTTGAAGCCATATCGCATAAGATAGTGTTAAAAATATAAAGACTATCCATATTCCTTGGTCTAGCCTATACTTCCGTTGAACTATTTATTCTCTATATTGGACATCTACTTAAAGGTGGTGAATAATCCTTTGACTAAAATTAACTATCAGTTATTTGTAGTTTGGATTTAATTGGCTCAGAAATCCTACCCCAAACTAGTTAACACAAAATTTACAAAGCTGGTTGGGGTTTGTGGTCCAAAGTGGTTTGGTTAGAAGACTATGAATGACTTGCCCATCTTATCCAGTGTTGGAGTTGCTTCTGAGAGAACACGTGGAAGTTTTACTATTTAGATTGTATATTATAACTATGGAAACAATGTAGAGCAGCCAGGTGTGGTGGTGGCAGACATTATAATCCCAGCACTTGGGGGGCAGAGGCAGGAGAATCAGGAGTCCAAAACCAAGAAGGACTCCATGATACCCTGTCTCAAACAACAAGTAAATAAGTTAAGGAAAAACATAAACAGAAGAAAAGAAACATGTAGAGGAGTCTCCAAGGTCAGGAGCTTAAAAGCCTCACTGACTTGCAAAATACAGGCACAGTTTCCACAAATTCGTTCTTTAAACCCATTATTGCAGAAGCTATAAAAATGAAATGATAAAGCACTTGATGTCAGTCCTGACTACCTGAGCTCAATCCCCTAGATCTATTGGGTAGAAGAAAACTGGCTCCTGCAATTTGTACTATAACCTTTACACACCATTCCTTCGTATTGTGTGTGCATGTATTCATACACACACACACACACACACACACACACACACACACACATACACACACACACACACACACACACACACACACACACACACACACACACACACACATCATTTTTTAAAGTAACTGGGAACATGTAGGAGATTGTTTGCTTTGTGTCTTTCCTCCCAGACTTTTTATTTCAGTAGCTTCTGAATAGTTCCTGCACTCCGTTTTCAGCTGAGCATGAGCTTTTGAGCATGAAAACTACAGCTATCTTAAAGACACAGTTCTGCTCTGCAGACTAGCCTGCAGTCCAGATTAGCTAGGAATGGCTCTAAATTGTACCTGAACTCCTACAGTTGAGCCCCCCTAGTGGAAGTGAAGTGACAATGTAATTTTAGACTGAATCTATTCATTTGTTTCTTTGTTTATTCATGGGTTTTTCAAGTCAGGGTTTCTCTATGTAACAGTCCTGGCTATTCTGGAACTCGCTCTATAGACCAGGCTGGCCTCGAACTCACAGAGATCTACCTGCCTCTGCCTCCGGAGTGCTGAGATTAAAGATGTACACCAACACTGCCTGGATAACTTTAGACTGAATTTCTTTCTTTCTTTCTTTTTGACTGAATTTCTAATAAAAGTTTAACTTTAAAAAATCAGTCGAAGAAACTGTCTATGAAACTCAGCATTGTGTACTATGAATTGACACCACTAATAACCATTGTTAATTTCCTACTTTTAAAAATGTTTAGCTAGATATATAAAATGATACTACTCATATCTGGTCAGTGAAGATTAACAAAGTCTATATGATTGTTGTTGTTATTTTGTTAATCTAAAATTATTTCAAAATTGGTTTAAAGCCAGTTATGGTAACATACATCTCTCATTCCAGCATTTAGGTGGCAGATGCAGGAGGATTAGGGATTCCAGGTCATCCTCTACTATGATCCTAGCCTGGCTTCCACAAGAGCCTGTCTCAATAAGCCAAGAAGAAAAATGTTTTAAATAGTTTTTATTTAGTTTACTGATTTTTTTCATCTTTAATCATTATTTAAATTTTTTCATATAATATGGTTTGATCATATTCTCCCCCCCAAATCTTCCAAAATCCTATCCACTCAACTTTATTTGTTCTCTCACTCTGTCAAAACAAAATAAATATCAAAACAATTCAGACAAAAAATATTAGACCTCAGTCATTTTTAAGAGGTGGAGTACTGACAGACTGGATTGCAGCCTTTATAAGTCATATAAACCCAGAATCATGAACCTGGAACACGGCTCAGTAAATAAAGGCACTAATCATCTAGCCTGACAACCTGAATTTGATCCCCTGGGCCCACATAACAGAAGGTGAGACCTGACTCCTGACGTTGTCCTCTGACCTCCACACATGGGCCAAGACACAGCATGATGTTCCATACCCTGGTCATGCTAATCACCACTAGTTTCTGGTCCACAGAACTTCTTAGATTGCCCATACATTAAAAAAAAAGAAACCCTCATTGGTGTGGACTTGTGATTTAGTGTTATCTAATTAACCCAGATGTTTTTTTGTTTGTTTGTTTGTTTGTTTTTCAAGACAGGATTTCTCCATGTAGCCTTGGCTGTCCTGGAACTAGCTCTGTAGACCAGGCTGGCCTCAAACTCACAGAGATTGGCCTGCCTGCCTCCTGAATGCTGAGATTATAGGTGTGCACCACCACTGCCAGGTGTGAGTCCAATTCTTTTTTTTTTTTTTTTTTTTTTTTTTGGTTTTTCGAGACAGGGTTTCTCTGTGTAGCTTTGCGCCTTTCCTGGAACTCACTTGGTAGTCCAGGCTGGCCTTGAACTCACAGAGATCCGCCTGCCTCTGCCTCCCGAGTGCTGGGATTAAAGGCGTGCGCCACCACCGCCCGGCCAGTGAGTCCAATTCTTAATTTCTACCCTTAGACCTAACGAGTTACCTGGAATGCCAGCTGAATTATGTTTTGGCTCTTTTGTAAATTGTAAATAGCATTGAAATCTTAAGTGTCTAGTATCTTTGATGCTCTTTAAAGTCTAATTACTAAAATGTGCCTAGGTTTGTGGCATTTGGAGTAGAAGGATTAGATATGATGATTGAGTAATATTTTAAGGGAGATAAGTCTCTTCTACAAATGGTATACACACATTAGACTTAATCACGACTATTCTGGCAAAGTGTTAATATCCAGGGCACTATCAGAAACCCAGTGAAATTTTCCTCTTAGGCAAAATAGTATGACTGCTACTGAGAAAAAAAGGGGCAGCTTGGCCATGGTGCTTGAGCACTAAAGTGATGGATGCCTTTGGACAAGAGAATGAAGTCCACTTATTCCATGGTCTGTTTTCAGTGTCATTTCTACTTGGCTTCCCATATTTCTTGACATCATATTCTTAACATATATGACAATGGCAGGCATTTGTATTTGTATTCAGTCTGCTATACTCTGGGTGGAATGTATATATCCCAAGCCATTTCTTGCTTGTAACTGATTCTAAAAGTAACTGGTATGAAATCAAATTTGAAAACGAACATCTATTAGTATAGGACAGCTTGAGTATCTGTTTTTAGACTTATTTTGCTAGTATGATGGGATCTTAGTGGAAAATGATCTAAAGGGAAAAGATTGATGGGTAAAAAATAAAGCTAAGTTTAGAAGAAGGTTAGAGGCTGGGTCATGCTTTGAATCTGTGTGCTTATTCTAGGGAGTGATGTGCCATATGGTGTAAGTTTAATGGGTTGGAGATTTTCGAAAGCTTTTTGGATGCATCCTTGTAACTGTTTTCAGTTTTGAATCCTTTGTTTAAAGTTGTAGCAACTGTCTAATGCCTGTGTGACATCCCCAACCCCATGTGTCTGTGAGTATCTGTGTCTGTGTCTGTGTGTGCCATACAGAGATGGACAAAACGTGTCTTCCTAAATGACCTGCCTCCTTACTTTTTAAGACAGGGGCTCGAACTGAAACTGGAGCTTGCCTGTTTGGCTAGACTGGCTGGCTGGCGAGTCCTGGGGATCCTCCTGTCCTTCCTCCTCAGTGTTGTCAGTACAAGTGCGTGCTCCATCATCTGTCTTT